CGAGTGAAAAAATCATGTCCACTTGATATGAACGAGGGTATTTTATTTCTTTTGTTTTCTTTTTTATATAACTTCTCTTTTGGTTGGTTAGGTAGATGGTGACAACAAGTTTGAGAGAGTCAGTGGAACAAGTGTAGGTGGTGGTACATTCTGGGGCTTGGGTAAACTTTTAACCAAATGCAAAAGGTTATTTCTTATTTCTCTCATTGTGATGTAACTTCTCTCTTTTCACATGATCGTTTAGTGTGATTTTCATTTTGTCAATTTCTGATATGATTAATGATCCCCAATACTCATGTCATTTGCTGTCCTGTTTCAGTTTTGACGAGTTATTAGAATTGAGTCACAAGGGAAATAACAGAGTGATAGACATGCTTGTTGGAGACATATATGGCGGAATGGACTACTCCAAGGTATATACAACCTTTCTTACACATATTCCGAAAGATGAGTATCATGTGAAATCAACGTGTAATATTTTGATTATCAAACTGTTACTCTTGAGTGTGAGTTTTTGTAATTGATCCTGACATGCCTCCATTTTTCTGATGGAGAAGACAGTGTCAGAAGTTCTATTGACTAATAATGAACTGCACTTTTTCATGGTTTGTATCATTCACTTTTACTCCGCGAATTGAGGTTTTTATGGGATGATATTATAGAACCTAATAGTGGGTAAAATCAGTAAAGTTAATGCACACTCTCATTTGAGAGTTCCTGAACTTACACATGGAAGGGAACACGTAACCTGAACACTGATTTTCAGTGTGTAAATTAAAATGCCTGCTAATTAATTTAAATGAACTGGCAACTTTTCAGATTGGCCTTACTTCAACAACCATTGCTTCTAGCTTCGGCAAGCCAGTATCTGAAAAGAAAGAACTCGAGGATTACAAAGCTGAGGATGTAGCCAGGTCGCTACTTAGAATGATTTCAAATAACATTGGGCAGGTCAGTTAAAAAAAATGATAGTCTTATAATAAATTAAGTCTAATGCTACAAGAATTAAACTGGCATCGGTAAAAGAAGAAACTAAAATGACGTTCTTTTCAGTGTCAGTTTGTGAATAATCTTAAGTACTAAAAAGACGTTCTCTTGAGAAAAACTAAGACGAGATAATTTGGGTGAATAGCTGAATTATCAATTGTAATTTAATATGTTGGGTTCATTATAAATTTGATTGAGTTGGTTTCGTATTTGCTGCTGTTCTTTCCCTTACAGATTGCTTACTTGAATGCTTTACGCTTCGGACTGAAGCGGATATTTTTTGGAGGATTTTTCATTAGGGGTCACGAATATACAATGGACACAATTTCTGTTGGCGTCCATTTTTGGTAATTTCATGCATCTTGTTCGTCTTATATATGAAATACTTAACCATATAATGAACCATATCACGAGAGGGCCCAAATGATTCACTTTTTCATGAATGCTAAGACCAGTAGTCCTTGTTCTATTATCTTCTGTAAGTAATAATTTGAATGATGATTATAAATACTACCCAATATTTATGTACATTAATAAACAGTTCCAGACACTCATGTCATTTATGTACCTTAATAACCATTATCGTCTCATGTGGACTGAGAAGTTGTCATTTTTGTGGGACGTTAAAGGTCAAAAGGCGAAGCAAAAGCTTTATTTTTGCGTCATGAAGGGTTTCTTGGTGCATTAGGAGCATTTATGAGCTATGAAAAAAATGGATTTACAGACATCACTCATGAATTCATGGAACACTCTTCAAAAGCCAAGTTTTCCTTGTGCACTGGAGATGAGCCCTTTGATAGCTCGACTCATGAAGACGGGTGTATAGAATGTAGAGTGCAAGTTAGAAATTTATGAGAAATTGTGTTTAGAGTGACAGGAAACAGGGAAAACTTGCGTGGCAATTCTTTGTTGCCAATATAAGTTTGGTCATTTATGTTTAAACTTATTGTCAAACAGTTGTAACCATAAAATTGAAATTCCTGTATGGTTTGGGCATTTTACACATGTAATGATCCTTTGCATAATGTAACTTGGAGAGGGAATAATATGGTAGTGAAGGAAATGAGTAAAACTGNTCAGAAATAAAATCACCTCACTTATGGCTTATTTGTCATTATTTAAGGTAACAATAGTAGAGTAAATTAGTCAATAATCTTGAATTCTTAGAGCATCTTTAATGCTCAATGTTGTTGTGGTTATTTACATTCTACATCAACACATTTATTAATATCACAACTTTTCATTCTTCAATGTACAATGTGATTACAAATGTTGTGGTGATGTAGACATAATTAATGTCTACAATGTAGAGAGGAATGTGGTTCATCCACATTCTCCTCCACACTCTAGCTAACCAATGAAGAGAAGAGAGAGAATTATTATTACCATTTTTAAACTATTTAATTATTTAAATAATTTTACTAATTTTTATTAAAATTTAATATTTGGTAAGTAGATAATATTGTAATTAGACTACATTGTGCATTGGAGATGATTTTTTAATTTAATAGTTGTGAACTCAACATTTGTCCTACATGGTTCACAATCTATTTAATATTTTGACATTTGTCAAATTTTTTTCAATAACAACATTAAAGCATTGGAGATGCTCTAGGACGACTATTATATTGTGTAGTTCTATCTTCAAAACGAAGTGGTGTTTATCTGTATTTTAGTGTTTTGATCATTAGGCTTGTTGCACTCTCAAAGTTTCACTCGATTAGGATCATGAGTAAAGGTAGTTATATTAGCGTACATATCGCTATATCTTAGGTCAACCCAGTTTACTAAATAATAAGTAATCATCATTTTGTCACCATAAAATTGTTAAGCTATTTATATTCACTAGTAAATGTACGTCAGTACGTGAGTGCAACGCACATGGTTACATAATTATTTTTATTTTCATATGAATTCTTTACTAAGTATATTTAATTTATTAAACATGTATAATATAAACATGAAGCATAGTAAAAGTTTAAAACAGTGACCCAAGCTTAAAACTTGTTTATACACTATATTTGTTCTATTTCTTCATGACAACTAGTACGTGGCCCGTGCGATGCACGGGAAAACAATATTTTGATTGTATTATAAATTGAATAAATAAATAACGTTATCATAATTTATCCATTATTTTTAAATTAAACCGGGTTGGACAGAGTCTGACCAAATGGACCGAGAACCGGTTTATAACCAGTCTAGTGCGCTTGAATAAAATATTTGCTATCGAATCTTTCAACACCAGTCTGTTGGATTGGTAGGATCGATACGATTTTCTAAACAAATTTTGTTACATTAAAAATAATTTTAAATAAAATAGAGATTTATAAATTGTTTATCAATTAATTTAAACATTTGAATTTATAAATTGTTTAGATATTTAAGTAACACTTTTTATTTAAATTAATTACAAAAAGTACTAAATATTTATATAATATATATTTAAATCGTTTCGATGACGGTCCGGTTCTGAAAACCTTATATTTACCGTACATTAATAAAAAAATATAATAAAATAATTATTTTGTTCACATAAATAATAATAAAATGATATACAAATATTCATTAATCATTAATCATTAATCATGTTGTCATAAAAGTATTGATAATATGATTATTTAAAGTTTGGACTACATCACATTCACGTAATAAAGTATTTTCAATATTAAAATTTATATTTAGGTTCAATAATCTATTTGGTCTGGTCAAACTGATACATAACTGGGACCAACTAAGTTGTTTCAAAGTTTTTTGACTATTTTAAATATCACCTAAAAGTAATTCAATCAACGTGAGCAGTACCCTAATTCAATCACCCGATTAATCCAAAGTAATTTCCTTATTTTCTTTAGATATAATATTTAATTTTATGAAATAAAAAAATTTTATGATTCATATGTCTACACCAAATAATAGTATATTAAGATTGTAAATTATATATCTAAAGATGAATTATTTATTTTTATTTTATGCATATTAATAAAAAATAAACATAGTAATTTAAAAAAAAATCAAGATTAATTGATTAGTATGCAATTTAAAGAATATTTTTAGCGTTCAATATATATATATATATATATTAACATGATTGAATTTTTGGATTAGAATATATATATTTAAAATGATTTTATTATTAAAAGTCAAAAAGAAAAGATGTCATAAAGATTACAACTTTGAAAAGTTTCTAAACATTAATTTAACTTTGAAAAGTATGTAAACATTAATTTAGGAACCATCCGATTTTAAATGATTTTATAATTTTTGAAAGCATCTAAAACCCATTAATTTAGGAACCATCCAATTTTTTGATAATGAATTAAAATTAAAATGTAAAATAAAGAAATTGCTGAAAATAGTATATAATAAATGTGGTTTGACTTTTCTTACTACTATTTATGGTAAATGTTAATTCTTATTATATATAT